CGGCCAAGCCACCGGCTCTGGCTCACAGCAGGGCTGGCGCGGCCGCCCTTCCCGATCTGCTCCGCGATTTTACAGCCTCTGCGGGCTCAAGGAGCAGCGGGAGCGCCCCGACGGCCGCTAATAAAGAGGGATCGCCCGAGAGCGGCTGAAAAGGGGATTGCCGGAGGCCTGTTTCTCACAGATTCCGACAATTTTGCTAAATCCTGTCTCCGCGCCGGCGTTTTCCAACGCTGCCCGCTACCGAGGACGAGGCAGAGGGCGCCCGGCGCCTCACCGACCCCCCCAGGGAACGCCTTTCCCCTGCCTCTCTGGGGAGCAGGTCCGTGGGACAGAGCCCAGGTTTCCTCGTCAGGGAAACGAACGAAAACGAGACGAAAGGCTAAAAAGGGCCGGATCCGGCACCGGCGCGGCAGAAGCGGAGCCGAAAGACGTGTCGTACCTTGGCGGGAGGCGCCGGCGCGTCCGCGCTCCCTTCCCCTTTGCCCAGCACCTCCTGCAGCTCGGCCTGTGAAGCGCCGGGAGTTTCGTCAGCGACGAGCCGGGGCGGAAAAGCCCTTTTTTGGGACAAGGCGATCCCGAGGAGCGAAGCCCCGGGGACGGAGGCGCAGAGCCCAAGAGCTCCCCCGAGGGCTCAAACCCCTTCTCACCATGAGATCGTCCTCCAGCTCTTCGTCGTCGTCGTCCCCCTCCTCCTCCTCCTCCTCGTCCGGGTCCTTCATGCAGAGGGCAGCCATCCTCTCAATCGCCTCCATCGGCAAAGGGGCTGGGGGAGCAGAGGCGGCACGAGGGTTTTTCTGGGGCCACGTACCCGTTTCTCGATGGTTTAAGCCCACGTGCGGAGGACTCCGGCCCGGGGGACGAGGGGTGGAGAGGGGAGGGGAGCAGAAACAACCCAACAGGAGCCGCTTCCTACACGGCGCGTAATTAATTATCCCAGAAATTGACGGGGGACGAGCCCCCCCCCGGGGCGGCAGCGCTCACTTTTCCCCTCGGGCTTCTCTCCCGGCGCAGCTCCGCCTCCCACCAGCGCCAGCAGCTCGGCCTCCAGCTCGGCGGCGTCCCCGGCGTCGTCCCCCGCCGTCCCCTCCGGAGAGAGGTCCACCAGCAAACCCATCTGCGGGGAGGGACAGCCCCGAGGGCGCGACGCTAATGAACCAGCGCCTCGTTAGGGCGAGGGGATTCCCCCCCCCACCCCCGG